TAGATTGATAAAAGAATAATCTTGTGAAACATAGCGGTCAATTGTCTCTGAAGAAATAATCAAATTAATTTAATCAGATTAAATTAGAAAAGAAAACGAAGTTCATATATACATCTATATAAATGTTATTATAAAACGAAATGTTGTGTGCGGACTACAGGAATAGCGGAATAGAGGAATAGTCGAGGAATAGAGGAACAGCGGAATAGAGGAACAGCGGACTAGAGGAATAGCGGAATAGCGACCGACCGACCGGAATACATTTTGACATGCTCCCTTAGTGACTCTCAGGATCTAGCGACGATCAGTTCGATTCTGTTTAACGCACCAAGGATTGGGGCTCAGCCATTCCGCCTCATTCACAGAATATTAGATTGGCTCTAACAACGAACTAATCCTAGCGTTAATATCTACGGATATACATTCTCTGAAAGTCCGAGCGTGAATGTTTTCTTCATATATAGCTGTTATGTGGCTCTATTTACTATCATTGTAAGGCTTTGCTGTCACCAGGGATTGCTTGATTTGTAACACCCAATTTGATATGGATTTAAAGAAAATGTTTTATTGAAAAATATCGAGATAAAATAAAAGTAGAAATCTTACAATCTTATAATCTGACTCTTAGTTAGAACGGAAAGGTATTTATAGTACTAGAACCACGATAGAAGATGATGAAAGTCTGACGAAATAAAGTGATGATGTCGTGAAAAAATCCAGTTCTTAGATCTTTCATATTTTCCTTTTCGTAGTGGGAGAACCCCCGTTTGTTAGGGAACGTTTCAAAATATATTCCGGTCGTTCGCTATTCCGCTGTTCCTCCATTCCGCGACTGTTCCTCGAGTATTCCCCTATTATTCCTCTACTGTTCCTCTATCATAGAACATTTCATTGTATAATACAGTTTATATATATTGAACTCCATTTTCTTTTCTAATTGATTTGATTGCTTCTTCAAATACAAGCAACCGCTATGTTTCAAAAGATTATTCTTTCGTCAGCAAAAAAAAGAACTTTTCATTTACAGTTTATTCTACTCTGATACTATCGAAACTTTCCTATAAGAGAACTTTTCTGTTTAAAGAAGAAAAGGACAAATTTTATATTTTCATCAAATATTGATTTCTTACGCGAGTAAATGCTCACTGCAAGTTTATCTGTCACCTTCGCAAATTTAAATTACGTTAATTAGAAAAAATTCACTTCCATTTTTTATACGACTTTAAAATGTGCGAGTTGCACACGCTGTTGAGCTATTTTTGAGAAAAGATCTCTTTTATTTTTTGAGAGAAATGACTATGAATGTTGCTGATTATCGTCTGAAAAAGCCGATTTTTCCAATAAGGGAGCATCGACCGTGCTGCCGAGGCATAACGAATTTATTTTAATTACATTGCGATATATTGTTAGTTCCTTTTGATGTATGTATATGTTGTAGGCAAACTTGGAATCCAGGCAAATTCCGAATTTGCCTAGGCAAAATTGAAATTCTAACTTTGACTAGAGTTTCTTTAGGCAAAATTAGAATTCCAAGTTTGCCTGGGAAAAATTAGAATTCTAAGTTTGACTAAGTCAGGCAACATTAGAATTTAGGCAAAATTGGAATTAGAATGGAAAAAACATAGATCATGGCTAACGAAGTCACGAAATTGATGATATATGCTAAAATCATGCTCTTAGTTTCTCCTGTTGGGTAATGAATCATTTTGCTGAACAGGATACTTATCCACTTCACCGCGTAAAGGTGGCATGATTGTCGAAATAGTAGGGTTCACGTTACTTCGAATACGTATTTGTAGAAATAAGGAAAGAGGCGAAAATAGCGGTCAAGGTTGACGTTATATTGTATATGTTTTGGATATTGAAACAGAAATAGAAATAAAAAGAATAGTAGAAGAATCCACGTACAAAGAACTGATCATGTACTTAATTCATGTACAAATGTAAACTGAATAACTCGAGAAAAAAATAATCTAGGTATATTTGACCATTGTGTACTAATAGTATAAATAGAATGTGTGAACCGATTAGGATCATGTTACTTCTTCTATATAAAAAAAATGACAGCGTGTAATACGACAACAACAACTATTCAACCTAACGATAGTGAAAAAGTCTTTTATAGTGATCTTGATAAATATATAGATTCATTAAGTGTTAAATTTCGAGAAAAAAGTGTCATAAAGAAGAAAGTTTGTGAGGATAATGTGCAAGCATTATTATTACAAAAAGGTAAGACATCTAATTCATTTTCTCCAAAATTTGTTTTTTGGGCGAAACAAAATTTTTTATTGTTGAAAATAGTGGGTATTGATATTGCATGTTGTATAAAAACAAAAAAACCCGTCTGTATTTATGAATCTTTCTTCAATGTAATAAGCGAATGTCATGTCTCGGTTTCTCATGGTGGTCGCGATAAAACTCTTTGTGAAGTGAATTCTCATTATTCGTGGCTTCCTCGTCCAGTTTCCTCGTCCAGTTTGAAATTTTTTTAAAACATTGTACACCTTGCCAAGTTAGAAAACCAATTAAACAACATGTAGTGTCCAAACCAATAATATCCTTAGGTGTCATGACACGGTTACAAATCGATTTAGTTGACATGCGTACTAGACCAGATAAAATTGAACCAGACGTTGTTTTTAATTGGATCTTAAATTGTATCGATCACTTTAGTAAATTTTGTGGGCTTTTCCGTTGAAAAATAAATCGGCTGTGGATGTTTCTGTTAAATTAAGAGAATTATTTTTTGTTTTTGGTCCACCACGATTGCTTCATAGTGATAATGGAAAGGAGTTTGTTGCTAGCGTTATAACTGAATTAAAAAATTGTTTCCTGATCTTTGTTTTATACGAGGACGTCCTCGCCATCCTCAAAGTCAAGGTTGTATCGAACGAGCAAATGGTGTACTTTGTGATGCTCTTGGAAAATGGTTGGCAACAAACAACTCCATTCACTGGTCAGAAGGTCTTTTACCTGTGGTCTATGGAATTAATACAAGAGTTTCGTGTGTCACAAAGAAAACACCGTATGAAGTCATGTTTGGTCAGCCACCTCGCTCGGATTCTGAGTTTTGGAAACTTGTTGATCAAAAAAACATTGATGATGAGGATGATTTACCAACACCAGTGGCTGATATGGATGGTACATTGTTGATCGAAAAGACGATACGGTTGATCTTGTTGATAGCGACGTAATTCCACTTGTTGAAAAGTTAACGGACGATGTTGTTTCTAATTCTATAGCTGGTCTGTTATCACCAGATTATAATACAGCAGGTTTTACTTTCACATGTGATATAAATAACTCATTCACAAATGATCTTATTTCTTTCGGTTCACCAGTAAAAAATAGCTTTAATTCTAATAATGAACATAATTCAAATAGAAATAATTTACTGGATTGTCTTCAAGATGTTGATTCGCTTTTAACATGTTCTGATACCGACATTGCTTCTTCATCTTCAACTGTACCATATACACAACCCGCAATAAGTATTTTAGATGAAATTACTTCTCCTAGTTTTCTTTCATGGTCAGGTATAAATGTTGTAGCTTCTCAGCCAATCACTTCTTCTTTTGATCTTGATTCTTCTACAACGCAAGCTTCTTC